AGCTGTGAATTATAGTAACTAAAATGAGTTTAAATTAAGTTTGGTTAAGTTATTGTTGTCAAATCTTTATGAAACTTTGGATCCATATTACAGGTGTTAAATAAGATCACTTGGTTTATGAAACTTTGGATCCATATCCGTAATTGAGAATTAATGTTGCAGTCTCAAAACTGATTTTAGGGAAGTTATAGTACTAAACCACTTGTTTTTAGTCAGAAGCAGTTGGTTTAACTCAAAGACCTTCAAATGATCTGAATGCGGTGTGAAACTTCCTAGCCAAACCATACAATCCCAATATATCCCTAGACAAAATATAATGATTTCCAACAAAAGACCAATATGAAGGTTTGAAAAWTAAGTGAGGGAGGCTTCACTTATCTATAACTATGATTTTGAACCTGCAATTGCTGCCATATCCCTGGTTGATCTGTTGTATTTCATGTGGCTCTTTACTAGCTGACCTTCTGCTATGGCCGACATTAAAGACAGCTCCCCGGCTAACATCGAACCAGCCACTACGGTTGCTAGAAGCCGAGCATTTGACCCTGGTGACTTCAAACTTGCACCCTTTGCTCCAAGCAGGTTCAAGCATGGGGATTGTGACGCTAGTTGCGTCCCTCCTCCCACTGTACCAAGAGAACCAACAATAGTTGAACCAGTAAGGTTCTTAAGCATGTTAAGTTCTACAAGGCCAGGCACTGTGGTTTTCAGCACCTTCTTAACCACCTCTTCAGTGATGACTGCTTCACAAACAACAGATTTTCCACGCCCCTCGATCCAATTAACAGCAGCAGGTTTTTTATCCGAGCAAAAGTTTCCTATTCAACCGCAAAACACGTGAACAGTATTCATGAACAAAAGTTAACATGTTTTAGTTTTCTTAAACCTGCAGCAATCTATTTTTGTGTGTGTATATGATGAAATGGAACCAATAAACATGATTGAAACTGAAGACCAAACTCAAAGTAGTGGCCGTTTACCCGACGCACGACGCCTACCCCGTAAGTACTTACCGTAAGATTGAACACTTCCATTTGTTGGGTAAAATTTTAGTCCATTAAAACAACATCGTACGAAATATTATAATCTGGCAAACACTTACCGGGTAAAAGTCATCACTCTCACTTACCGGGTAAAAGTCATCACTCTCACTTACCGGGTAAGACTCTCGGTCCTTGTTGTCGCTCTTACTGCGTAAGATACTTAGGCT